TTTGGATGACGGCGTTGGATATCGAGTACTTGACATGGAAGTGTCGAATGAAACCATGCGGGTTTTTTCCGCGTCTATTTTTGTATCGTATACGACATTAAAAAATGTTATAATTCAGATTGGAGCATAATTTGTGCATTAATTAAAAAAATGTATGTTTCTTTATAAATATTAAATAATTATTATGATTTGACACAAAAGCTTCTTTTCATTTTGCCGACTCTTCCAATCGAAATGTTATTTTTTTGTGACACAACTTCTTCTCCATTTCTTTTAAAAGTCGTTCTGCAGTTTTGCACAAAGGACTTTGGCTCAAACCAACCAAAAAGTCGTTCCCGACACAGAGCTGGAAGCTGCCGCTAGCCACAAGTGATAGTGTAGTGCTAACTGTAGAGTAGGTGGTACCGCTGTTGACGTATGGCCAGTAAAGTTCAGTTCTGATAAAAATATATTTAAAAGCTTCCTTTGAAACACGAAAGCGTTGTTTAAACATTCAATGTGAAGAAAAACTATAACAGCTGTTGTGGTTTATTCAAATGGGTATAATTACATATTTTTAGATTTGTTTTCTTAAGATGTTTACAATAAAATCATATTCCGAATCCGACGATGACATAAAAAACACAATTCCTCATCTATTTTTGCAAAATTTCACTTTTTCACCAAATAAATAACAACATGTTTTATTTATTCTTAAAGATGGCAAATTTGATATTGCCAAATGTAACAAAATCGATAAATTCGATACTAAATTACGATCGAATGCAATCATCCCAACAATAAATTCGAGTTGTAATTCATGTCGATACGAATCAGCATTCGATTGCGAATGCCATGATTAGGCCCCAGCTTTTTCCTTTAGAGTTTTTACAGGAATAAAGTGCAATTAAGCCCTTCTCCGCTCGCTTCTCTATGTTCCTCTTCCAGTTTAGCTTCTGGTCTAGGATGGTACCGAGGTATTTGGCTTCCGAGGAAAGGCTTAGCATAACACCATCAAGGATAGGCAGCGAAAAGTCTGGTATTTTCCTATTCCTTGTAAAGAGTACGAATTCAGTTTTTAATAGGTTCACGCCATTGCAGCGTACCCATCTGGAGAGTTTAACTAGAGCTCCCTGCATAAGATCTAAAACAGTTTTCGGAAATTTCCCAGCAATCAGCAAGACAACTTCATTGGCGTAAGCCAATACCTTTGTCCCAGGGGTATCATAGATCTAATCTCAATGTATAATAGTCTGTCCAGCGTTTTCAATAGAAATGATGAAAGACTAATAGGCCTGTAGTCCTTTGGAAGCACATGACTTGGTTCCCCAGCCTTGGGATTGTAAGTGACTGTAACTTCCCTCCACAGGAATGGAATGTGAGAGAGACGCAGGCAAGCCTTAAAAAAACCCTCCAGAAGTGGTATTATTACCGTCGATGCATGCTGTAGCATGGCGGGAATAATGCCATCCGGTCCCGGTGACTTAAAAGGTTTGAATGACTTTATAGCCCACAAAATCTTGGGAGCGCTTACAATCCTCTCAGTCAGACTAACATCCTCGACACCACGATGCTGACTAGACCGATCTACCAATTGGTCATTTACCGCATCGGAGCAGTTCGGAAAGTGAGTATTGGCTAACAGGTTGAGTGTCTCTAGACCAGTCTCAGTCCAGCTACCGTCATTCCGCTTTATGCATCCAATGGATTTGCGTCCTTTGAAAGCACTCTACGGAATCTGGAGGCAGCGTTGACATTTTCTATGGACACAGTAAAGCAAACCCAAGACCTTCGTTTGACCTCCTTGATTTCACTCTTGTACTTGTTGAATGCTGATTTGTAAGCCTTCCAGTCCGTACCCAGTTTGGTCTTGTTGGCCCTATTGTAAAGGCGTGTGCTTATCTTCCTGAGCTGGGCTAGGTCTTTCGACGACCAGGCAGGTTGGCACCTTTATCCCGGGAAGGTAAGCGTCAAGCTCTTTCATAGCTCCCAATCAGGACTTTAGTTAACAAATTAACGGACTCGTCCACATCGGAGGCGGAGTCTACTGGGAGATTACCAGTAGATCTCAGCTTCCATGCAATGTGCTCCGCAAATTTATCCCATCGAGGCTTTCTCGGGTTCCTATGCGGTTTTTGACGCAATCCCTCTACCGATGCCTGGAATGTTATCTTCCGATGGTCCGAGAAGGAACAATCGGTGGAAACTTTCCAACTCAGTATGAGTGACTCCCTCCCTCCCTATTCCTAGTTTGAAAAGTTGCCTCATTTCTCCTGTTACATATTTTGAGAAATAAATAAGGTTGTTAAAATAAAATCGAAAATGGACTCACCTCTTGTGTTCGTATCCTTACTGCGCCATTGAAAATGGTGAGCGTTAGAATCACATCCATCCTGGCGGGTCGGGGTACTCAAAGGGTAGGTAGATGGAGGCAAAAAAGAGTACCCTTCCGGCTCGTGCTTCCATCCTAACCGCCGTGGCGTCTCCTCCGCTGAAATTATTGGGGAAGATTAAATTTAAGTTCTTTTTAGCGACGATACACGTTTTAACCTTTTCTCCAATGGATGTGACATAGGTGATGTACTGCTCACTCCCTAGCCCAGTCACCCTATTTTTGACTATATAAGGTTCCTGGACCAGGGCTGTATCTACTTCAAACTTGGTGAGGGACATGAGAAGTTCAGCTGCACCTGCATTACAGTGGTGCAGATTAATCTGCACAACGTTAAGCAACAGTGGCTTCCTTTCTCCTACTGCGACGTCGGCGTTAGACGAAATCAAATCCATCCTGTGCCAAAGTGCAGATTCCCCCGCGAGCCTGAAGGTAGTCCTGGCCAGCTGTATCAATAGATACTTTAACGAGCAGGCGTCCCCCCTCCGTGCTTGAGTCGACTTTCCGTAATGAGGTTGGGATTTTGTTTTTCCAATATTGTCAGAACGCGTGTCGGATCCACTGAGGGTGGGTGGCACCCATGCTGTCAATATTCTCCTACAGGAAATTTCCTTTAGGAATACAGCAGCAAGTGCACTTCCATTTTAAAGCCCTTGAAAGCCAGCTACTGCGGTCACGAGGAAGTTTTTGGACTCCTCCTTTTCGCAGCATATCACCTTCACTCCTTTGTGTAGGATGTTCCCCCAGGAAAACCAACTCCCTCAGACGATCCTCAATGAGAAGACACCGACTTTCGCAGATTTTGCCTTCCGGCTCAGTTCGATCGATGACCGCTACACGGAGGTTGTCCGGGTAGGTGGTTTGAGAATGTTTCCTTTTCCTGTTAGGTTGGCTCGAAGGCTGCAGGTTGTCGGTTACAGGTTTAGCCTTATTCCAATCTCAGGAGTTTTACTGCTTCCCACTCCAGCTTCGTTCGTAGGTTGCCCCGGTCTTCCCGAGGTCTGTAAGGAGAGAGGCAAGTTCCTTCTCAAGAGAATATTTTGGCAGTTTCGGATGATTCTTTTCGAATTTCGCACTGCCTTCAGGTTCGTCTTGATCAGGGTCCTTTCCATCTCAGTGATCTGTAGGGGATCGCGGCCGATGAAGCTTTTATAGTACCTCACCGACTGTTGTAGCCCCTCCTTGCTTTACCCTCTTTCGATCCGGAGTCGTCGCGGTTGATAGAGGCACTAGTGCCACCTTCCACGACGCCTTCCTTGACCCGGAGGTTGGTAGCATCGGCGTGCTCCGATAAAATTCCTTCGCCGAGTATTGGCCTACCTGGGCGACGGTATGAGGAACCTCTCCAGTTTTCTGGACTGGTCCATCTCTCTCATATAAGGGTATGACGGTGGCGTCGTACCTCATCAAAGAGAGGTGAATCACTACCAAGACCGGATGGTACACTTTCCTGGCTAACCCTAAGGGGTTTGGTCTTCTCGAGAAGGGCGGACAGCTGTTTCCTCTGTCTTTGTATGCTTTCGCATACCGCGTCTCTGTACGTAAGCAGAGTCTCGTCCCCACCCATCATTGAGATCTCGTCCGTGGCCGCGTTCCGTGTCGGTGCCTCCGAAGAGGCGATTGAATTGTTGTCGGTATTTGTTTTGTTGTTTGTTGATTTTAAATTTTTCTCCAAGGTTGGACGTTGGAGGTGATGAGGTCCGCCACGACATAGCTTCCATATCATGGTAAGGACTTCCAACCGTTCGAAAACAGCCGGTACCCTGACTACAAACCTTGGAACACCGATGGGCACGGTTTACGTAACACCCCAGTGTTAGGGAGTCCGTTGCGGTGGACCAGTCTTTTTACTGGATAGTTTAGGGGCGCCAGTGACTTCGCCTCGTCGAGTCCAGGGATCATAGGTACTCGGGTATTTAGCCCGAGACTAACCCCTCCAGAAACCGCTGAGCTGTCCGCGACTGCTTATTTAATTCGCAGCTGCCCGATATATCTATCGGGCGTCCCACTATGCGCAACCTGTGGACGCATCCGGTAGCATTCAGCTATGCTTTCGCGAACGGAGGAGGGGTTAGAGGTTTGTCCCAAATTTCATAATCTTTGTAAGTAGCCGGCCTTTGGCAGGGGTTTGGAATTTTCATCTCTGAGTATGTCCCGTACCGGCTACCACGAATCAAAGATTTCTAAAATTAATTGTTTTTATAAATAGTCCACACAGCAAAGGTCATACTCCCCATGGGGATTGAGGAAATATACAAAGTGTCTATCAGTTTCAAATAGACTTTTTATACATTTAACAATTAGTGCTAATTACACAAATGGAAAATGCAAAACATGTATGTGAATTCAAAAAAAATTGCGACGGAAATATATCTTAAAAACCCACAAATATATTTTTATTGTGTAGTATTTTTACATATACACGAAAGAATGAACTAAATGGAACAACTACCTAAAACGAACTATGTGAACGACCAACTGTACATCAAATATGGATTTCTGTCATAAATTAATTTGAAATTATTTGCTTTATTATTCCAACTTTATACTCATACTTTTGGGACACAAAAAAACATTGCATTCAATAGGAAGCTTTTTACACTTGAAATTATATTTGTTTTCTTTTTAGGAGACTGCAGCACCCTGCCGCCAACAATATGCGATGATGTTTTCGACTGTATTATGTTCTTTAGCCAATGTTCTAACTACGAAATTCGAAAACAATCTTTAATAGCTTTAGGTTCATTTTGTGTAATGAATGATAACTACTTGATAAGGCCGGAGCTGAAGCAATTTTACTGTGATATTCTTAGTTCAGATAAAATAGAAGCAAGTATAAAAATTATATGTATGCGGAACATATGGATCTATCTTACAGAATCTGAAATGAACATGCATAATAGGGAAAAAGAATGTAAGTTTCTAAATAAGATACAGACCTATTCAAAATGAGCATGATTTTTGAAGTAAGTGAAAGTCAAATGTTTTTATCATACATATTTTCACGTGTGTAGGGGAAAAGCAGTCACAAAATGAAGACCTTAAAGAAATGAATGACGTTTCCTCTGGCATGGCAAGTCGCGTGATACAATTATACTTGCAAGAAATATTGGAGTGTTTTCTTAATCGAGATGATGCAGTCCGCCTCTGGGCAGTAAAAGTAATTCAAATAGTTCTGCGACAAGGCTTAGTTCATCCAGTGCGAATGGTGCCGTATTTGATTTGTTTGAGTACAGATTACAAGCTTGAGGTAGGTTATTTTGTATTTTGTAATAATGTTACATAAAAAAATATCCAATTTTTTAGACCGCTCATAGAGCAGATGCCTTACTTAAAGAAATCGATAGATCTTATGCAGGCTTTGTAAATATGAAAGTACAATTTGGTTTGCAACTATGTTTTAAGTTGCAAGAAGTATTGCAATATAATAGTAAATCCAGAAGCTGTGTGATACGAGGATATGTGTAAGTATTAAAAATACGATTCTACTTTTCTAATTTTTATAGTATATATTTTTTCTTCGTGTAACATATTACTGTCAATGTTCGATAATTGGCTCATAGAAAAAAATACATCAATATAAATAAGCCAAAATTAACACATAATGAATTTCATTTTTTCCAAGTCAAAACACTTTACTTGAATAACTAATTAATTCTATGATAATTTAAGAAAACCCTGTGAAATTGGAACTCGAATGAGCCTCGAAATATTTTGTTTTCTAATTCGCAAATAGCCATTTTACATTGGGATGATTCCGTTTGTATATTTGAACTTTTTTATTTTAATTGATTTTATTTTATTTGATCTATCGAAATGTAACAAGGCAAAGCTCAAAATTTATTAATATTACATATTCGGGTTTTTCAAAATTATAAGAATATGTTCCATAAAAAGTATTCTTGTGTGTAGTGACCATAATCCTATCTAATACTTTTTCGAGGATTTCGTTTATCTAGGTTGATGTGTTCCAACAACGCAGTAGGATGAAATTTTAGTAACAGACAGGACCTGGGCATCTTTTCCATCTACCATAGTAAGCACTAATTGATAGTCAAGGTTTATTTCGATAGTCTGTAATTATGCCATTTGTGTTTTCACGTCACTGACGTCTTCGCTAATAGTTTTTCTCTTTTAATCAAAATTTAATTGTGTTTCTTCTTTTCTGTATTGGAAGCAGTGGAAGTAAACAGGTTGTTGTTTTTGTAGCAGTAGTACATGCATGTGTTTGCGTTCTGCTAATCTGGTTCCAGCTCCAGGTTTAGAAATTCGGCTACTTTTACGGGCTGCAGCCAGAGATCTTCTGGAGTGAGTTGGGTAGGTTTGGCTGTGCAATTGAAGAGGTGTAGCGTATTGTGCGGGCCTGTATCACACGCCAGGCTGGCGTCACGCACATCTTCATCAATTCGTGCCCAATACGAATTGAGACGACTACACCATTCTGAACGTAATTGCGCCAAAACTACCCTGGTTTGTCTAGGCAGCTGACGTTCTTCAGCTGCAATGGATGGGGGGTGGACTCCGAGGACGGCATTCACTTTATAACTGCTAATAGCATCCGCGACGGCATCGGTGTGAATGCCACTCAGACCTGCCTGATAGGCTTTTTGATCTAGAGGTTCTCTCTTGTAGCACTGGACCTCCCTCTCTAGATCATGTATGTCCTTCCTGACACGCCTGGGTGGGGGAGATTTATCCACCATATGATGGTTGGGATGACTCTCACGGTAACACCCAAGCAGGTACTGCAACGAAATCATATGAAAGCAAGTTCCGCGAGATAGGGGTTCAGCCTTTCGCATATGTCATCGACCGGAATTCCACGTACGACTGGTACGACTGTTCCAATGTTGAAGCACTTCAGATTGTCTAGCCACTTTTTGCTCTTATGCTCCTGTACCAACCGGTTGACTTCCACTGTCAAATCACTGATTCTAGGATCAGTAGGGTTGGTACGTCGGAGATCATCACGCTCGTTTGCTAATCCTGCTGCCTCTGCTGGGAAGTTTGGTCTTATCTCGGGTATTCGACCAGCAGGTATATAGCGAGCGGCTGCAGCTTTGATGATGTTTCGGAAAATCCTTTCTGCTACCCGAACATCAGAAGGGTTGGGCAGTTCTCTGAAGCGGCGGTTGGTGAATTCTCTGAACTCTGGTCAGTGAGCTTTCCCATGGTTAAGGAAAGTGCGGCGTTCAGAGGTTATGAAATCGGGCGACCTGCTTATGGAGACTATTATTGGGAGATGGTCTGAGCCAAGAGGAATGACGGGTTGCCAAGTCACGGCATTTATCAGACCGGATGACACTATGGTTAGGTCTGGCGAACTGTGACACTCTCCTCTTATTCGGGTGGGGGCATCCTCTTTAACCGTGCAGAATGTGGAGCAGTCAATCTGCTCTGCCAGCGCTGATCCCCTCTGGTCATTACCTAGGAAGGAATGCCACAACTCATGGTGGGCATTAAAATCCCCTAGTACCAGGCGGTTATTGCCTACCAATAATGGGCTAATATCAGGCAAATAATGCGGTTCACAGCTATTAATCGGCGGGATATACACATTAAGCACCTCTACCTCGGCAGTACCACACTTGACTGCTACCCCCATACATTCCATGCATGGGTCACTAGAGACTAGCTCAAGCGAGATAGGTCTGTACTGAACAGAATGCTGTAACAGGAACGCTAATCCCCCACCTCCACTTCTGCTGCGATCCTTCCTTAGTACGTTGTAACCATTACAACGTTGTAGGCTGCAATTTTCATTCAGCATGGTTTCATGCACTGCTGCGATCTTAATATTCCTCCGACTCATAAATTCCACTATCTCATCTATTTTGACTCGAAGTCCGTTGCAATTGAATTGCAAGAATGATGCACAATCCGGATTTGGAACAGCAATATGTGGCGTTAGGTGCTGCGGAGTTGGTTGCTGTTCTGGAGACTGCGGTGGAGTGCCATACTCCGACGACGTCTCTGACGAGGACGACGAAGAAGAGGACTCGCTGGGGACTACGTAACTGCAGCAAGTCGCAACATAATCCTTTTTGATGTAGTCTCGCATACGCCTTAGTCCGGAACAGTTCTTGAAGTGCACCCATTCTCTACATCCATTACATCGCACCGAAACAGATATGTGGTGGATGACGTTTTGACAAACCGAGCAGAACCAATGTCCGGGGTTTTCCTCAATCCCGGCACGGACCAATAAAATCCGGAGCAAGCATTCCGGGATACGCTGCTCCCAATGCAGAAAAAAAAACAAACACAAACATGTACATACTGGGTTGGTAGCCGCTGGCCGAAACTGGGATCTTGTTGTTTCGGGTCAATCCGGTATTGTAGAACCCACTGCCGTGGGATTAACCAACGTCAACAGGTTGATACAGGAGCATAAGCGGAAAAAGTGGTTAAACCATCTGAAGTGATGCATAATTCGAACCGATTTAAATAAACAATGGGTAACGGTTAAGGCACTCTCGAACCACAAAAGTCCTTAACCTGTGGTTAGCCACCCACATAGTTCCCGAAGCCTGAAAAATGGGCCGGATGGTCCGACCACTGAAGCCAGGCAAGGATGCCAGCAAAAGCGAAACGTGCAGGCCGAGTTCGCTTCCTCCTCCTCAGTATCAGAGGAAGCTATTCAGTTGCTAAGAATCAACACGGATTCCGTCCACTACATAGTACCACAACGACATTGCACGCCATATCCACACATACATATCAGACGAGGGCTCAACCAGAACAGGCCGTGCCATAGAACAGTAGTGGTGGCTGTTGATTTGTCAAAGGCCTTTGATACGGTCAACCATACCACGCTGTTCTAGGACGTTGAGAATACTACCCTCCGGCCATATTTGAAACGTTGGATAGGCAATTATATGTGTGGACGCAGGCGGAACAAGAAGTCCAAGCCCGTAAAGTGAAACAGGGAGTTCTCCAAGGTCGAGTGATATCACCGGAACTGATTAGCCTCGACCTTTCCGGAATTCCGCTCCCTCCAAACGAGACCGTAACATATGCGGACGACTGTACGATCACTGTACGGGTCCTGTAGTTGATGACAAATGTGTCAGGGTGAACATCTTGCCCCGCCATTTTCCCTGCGAGGAATATGAAAATATCCGCCACTAAATAAACGGCCACACTACTTACCACTGCGGAGATGATAACACAGTTGAATGTGCAGGTCGAGGGGCATATAATTCCGACCACTAACTACCCTAAAATCCTTGGGATCACATTTGATAGCATGTTCAAGTTGTCCGCGCAAGCTATCTGCAATAAATTGAAAAGTAGGAACAAGGTCCGCAAGGCGCTAGCCGGCAGCACTGGGCGCGAATAAAGAAACCTTGTTGACCTCTTATTAAACGATAGGTCGGTCTGTTGTTAGCTATGCGGCTCCAGTGTGGTCTGCGAATACGCGTGCAACGCAGTGGAAAGTATTCAGACCTGCCAGAGAATTGATACAGGGTGCCTCCTCACGACTCCTGTGAACCATTTACATGAGGAGATGAAGATTCTTCCCTCATGTCAGCATAGTTATATGCCTTCGTTGCAGTACCTGCCTGGGTGTTATCGTGGGAGTCATCCTAACCACCATATGGTGGACAGAACTCCCCCACCCAGGCGTTTCAGAAATGAGCTGCATGTTCTAGAGGTCTAGCGATATAAAAGAGAGCCTCTAGATCATTAAGCCTATCAAGTGAGTCTAAATAGCATTCATACTGATGTAGTCGCAGACGTAGTTAACAATTACAGCATGAATGAGATCCTCGGAGTCCACCCCCATCCATTGCAGCTGAAGAACGTCGGTTGCCTAGGCAAACCAGGGTAGTTTTGGCCCAACTACGTTCAGGATGGTGCAGACATCTAAATTCATATTGGACATGAATTAACGAAGATGTGCGAACCGCTTGCCCAGCTTGCGATACAGGCCCGCACAATACACCGCATATGTTCAATTATCTAGATAAACCTACCCAACTCCGTCTAGAGAATCTCTGGCTAGAGCCCATAAATGTAACAGAATTCCTAAACCTGGACATCGGAGAAGAACCGGATTAATGAGTCTTTAAACAACAGAGTACATTACCACTGTTACAACAACAACCATGAACTTATCCGTGTCTGAGACATTTTCTCGTAGAAATTGTTTGTATTGGTTTTGTCCAGATGAACCATCATATCCCCAGTAAAAGAGAGTTACTTTGCAGTCCCCATACTCCTTTAATTCACTTCCTCTAATTGATTGTAGCAATTGTTGAGCTCCTGAAGTTGTGATTCCGCATTTATATTGTCATACGATACGACGGATTTAAGTCCTTTTTAGTCGCACGCAATCTAAGTTGCATTTATTGGTGGGTTGTTTTATATATATATACTACCTGGCCCAGTCCGCGTTGCCGGCCCGTAGTTTTAATCTTTAATGCATAGTTTTTAAAGCATAATAATTCACAAATCTGGC